AAGCAGAGCTGCCTGTGGGCGACCTACTCCTCAGAAGAGCCAGACAACTTTCCAAATCCGTGGCCCCAAAGAGACAGAAGAGGGGGACCTTCAGACCCTGATTTTCCACCTTTCCCTTTCACCCACCCACCATCACCACTTGGAGTCACGAAATAGAGGGCCCAGCTGAAGAGAGGCAGGGGGATGAAGATGGCAGAGAGCTGGATTCGCCTTCCCTCTCTCACCCAGCTCTCAATCCAGTCTCTTTTGTTTCTGGATTATTCCGTTGCCATATTTCTCTCCCTGGTCCTCTGTGCTGGCCTCCTCCACCCCAGCAGCTCTTGCCTCCTTATCCATCATCTGATCATGGGGCGCTGGAGTCTATCTCACAGAGAAAACCTCCTGCCCCGGGCCTCGGAGGATGAGGGCTCAGCTGTCAGTGAGAAGAGTGCCTTCCAAAAGGGTCAGAGAACCAGTCCCTCTAGGATTGATGGCTATGAATTATGGATGGCACATCCCAGTTGGTCTCCGTGCTCAGGAGCCACAGAGAGTGTCCCTGCCTCTCTATCCTCAGGCAGCTTTCCCCTTTAGCATGCATTTCTGCATTCATTTTGCATGGGGACCGTTCCTGTGTTGATGTCACTTGATGGTTGCCTTTTATTATTATTATTATTTTACTTTTTTAGTGGATAGGGCTTTGTACATACCCTCTGCATCAAATCAGGATTTCCTTGAGCATGAAGGTTCTGTCTCTTCTCTAAGTTAGAGCCCAGTTAGAGAGAACTGATGACCAGCCACAGCCAGTGGTCCCCCAGTGTAGAGTGGACACCATGACCCTGGTGGGGGACAGAACAAAGACTGCTTTATCCCTAGGAAACTCAAGACATGAGTGAACGGGGCAACATAGGTAGACAGCAGTGAGCCCAGACTGCACACAGCCCTGTCGCCAGGAGCAGTGCCTGCCACGAGAGGACTGCAGCTACACTCTTCCTACCCGGGGAGGACTGATGCTATACTCTTCCTACCTAGCGTGGGGGGGGGGGGGGATCTAAGTTCTCCAGCAGGTCAACTCCATGGTTTCTCTTCTGCTCCCAGACCTCTGTGGCATCTCCTGGCCTGCCTCTGGCCATGTGTGCTTCCTACAGAGTGTTTCTGCCTCTGACCCCATCTTCCGCTGAGTCAACTGACCCTGCTGCTGAAGAATCCCACATCTGTGAATCCTTAGTGTTTCTTGGGGTGCCTGCTACTTTGCTTGGGGCAACTTCAGTGCCATTTTTCCTCCCCGCAGGGTAGACCTCCTAGTCAGTTCTTCTCTTTAAACCCATGTTTCCCAGAATTTCTCAAACAACCACCGGACCTAATGCCAACCACAGGCAACCCACCAGTCTCTGCCCCTTCTGCCTCCCCTAACAGTTTGGCTCTGGTGGTACCCTGCCCCTGCTGGGCTCATGGTGCTGATGCCATGGGGTTCCACAGGCCTGGGTCAGGAGTAACACCCTGTTTCGGAGCACTCAACTCTGGTTTGCTCCAGAACGCCATCTTCTCTACTCCCTCATGGACTAGCTGCTCCCCTGGGTGCTGCCACCAGGAGGCTGTGTGAGCACCTCCGTTGCCTCAGCTACCACATTGTTGCATCTTATTCATGCCTCCACGGCACATTCCTCCCCGTGTGTCTCCTATCAGCAGCCTCTGGGATTCCTGGCACATGGATGACTCCAAATGACTGAACATGACAGGAAGAGAAGGAAGAAGGGACTGGGCAGGGACAGGCAGAGTGAACAATGGTCACAGAGAAGGACTAGGCAGGAGGGTCGCAGGAGCAGCTGGAATATAGTGCCAGGTTCAGCTGCAGGGAAGGCATAAAACACCCTCCTCGCTCCTCCCCTCAGCACCTTCTCAAAGTGAGGAAAATAAAACTGGTTTCCTCATGACAACCTTGGTCTGATGATAAACCTTCTCAGCTTCCCATGAGGTGGCGGGGCGACTCAGCTCGGAGGGGAGAAGGCTGGAGGAGTAAGGGAAGGGGGAGAGAAAAAAAGAGAAGAGAGAGACAGGAGGCGGGGGAGGGGGGAGGAAAGCAAGAGAAATCGCCGGCTGGGGCTGGCTCGTTCTGTGCGCTGAATTACTGATGTGGGGAAGGCGGCGCAGCAGGTTCTGCTGGGAGGCATTTATTGCGCATGAGAAAGCAAGCTGCCTGTTAAAAAGCTACCTCCAGTCTGCAGGAGGGGAGGAGAGGGAGCCTGGGGCCCCACAGGGCAGGGGATTGCTGGGTGGAAAGGGCCAGAAGGACTAGAATGGTTTATTGGCTCTCCCAAAGGCCACAGTCACCTGGAGGGAAGGGGTTTTTCTGTATTTCAAGGCGATTTCATCCATGGAGCCCACAGACTGCGTCCTCAGGGAGGTGTTTGTATGAGCACTTGTTCCTATGTTTACTTTCCCGTGCCCTGCCCTGGCATCCATATAGCAGCTTATGGAGGTAGCTGAGAGTCCCCAGTCCCCAGTCAGTGTCCCTTTGAGGTAACTACCTGAGCCATACAGTTTTCATCCTTGGGAGGTCGTGGCTAATCTCTCTTCTTCTTTCCCTATTTCCTGTGGTGCTGGAGCCAGAACTGAGGGTCACTGCTGGCGTTAGGCTGTATTTGACCACTGGGTTATATGCTCTCCCAGGGAGACAGTTCATCTTACTCTTGCCTGCGCCTTAACTGGATGAGAAGATGTGGAAAGCACCCCCCCTGGGTGTGTCTGGAGGGTGTTCCCAGAGACTGTTAGACCAGGATGGCTCTGACCTAATGCCTGGCTTGATCTTCTGTTCAGATTATCATCGTTTGGATAGGCAGGAGACGGTGGCTCTGAGGACTGTGAGGTCTGGATGGAGTAAGTGTGTCATGGGGGATGCATTGTTGAAGAACATGTCTTGGCCCTGACTTTTCCTGTCACCCTCTCTCTGGCTCCTGTCTGCCATGAAGTGAGCAGCCATCTCCACACATTGCCACTGCCCTTCTGCCTCACTGCAGGCAATGGGTGCGGATGACCTTTGTTTAAAGTTCCTGATGAATCTTCCCTCCTTTAGGTTGCTTATGTCTAGGATTTTGTCACAGGGACAGGAAGTCCAGCACACTTGTCTTGGGGGAAATTTCTCCAGCTTGCTCTGGGGATCAGTAGTAGGTCTGCTCACCTCCTGTCTTTGAGTACCCACCCCTGTTAAGAAAGCAGAAACAGGTTGGAGAGATGACTCAGGGGTTAAGCGCACTTGCTGCTCTTTCAAAAGCTGCAAATTCAGTTCTCAGAGCCCATATCAGGTGACTTAGAGCCACCTGTAACTCCAGTTCCAGGCGATCCAATGTCTTCTGGCTTCTGCAGGGACCTGCATACACATACACTTGTACAACACACACAAACACACACACACATCAACTAAAATGAATGAATAAACTTTAAAAATAGAAAGAAAGCAGCCATCTATATGGGCATGGAGGTCCAGACTATCTTGACCTTCTGATCATGGACTCCGCTCTACTCCTGGTTGGAGTAGAAGAGGACACAGGACTCCTGTAAACCACAAAGCAGTTCCACTTGGAGGAACAGAGACAGTGACAGGGCCTCTCCTACTGCTGTGGCCCCAGGTAAGCAAACCTGTCTTCTTGGGACACCGTCCGAGGGAAGGTTTTACTGTATTAAACCCACTAAGCACCCTTCAAATACTCTTGCTACCCCCTTCTCAAGGTCCCACACCCTTTGGAAGCTGCTGGCATCGTTACCCCTCCATGAGTAGTCCTGGGAGTGGGGGTCTCCCCTTCTCCCTGTCAGTTCCTCATTTCTACCCATTAGCATACCCAGGTCTGGTAGCCAAGCAACACATTCTTCCTTTCTTAAAAGGTTATGTTTGCTCGGGTCACTGTCACCCTCTGGTTTGTGAATAACACTCCCTTCTCCCTGCCTTATGTTTTTCGCATGACTAACTGCAGAGGAAGGGGTGGAGGGCACTTGAGTTTCTCAGAGAAGCATCCTCCACACCATACCATTCTACCAGTCAGCTAGAGCTGCCCACACAGATAACCTCTTGTCTCGCTTTCTTCTGCTCAGAGAGAGCGGTTTCTGCCCACTGTTCAGGCTGCTGCTTTCTGGTGGTGTCTCTGCTCAAACGTCACCATCTGAAAAGATCCCCCTTGCCCACCTGTCTAACGCCACTAGCGGCTACCCTCCAATCTCACGTACATTCCTCGGTGGCATTAATATGTAAGAGACAGAAGTCCCCGTGGGCTCACAAAGTCACAGACTATCTGTCCCCTCATTCCCGTGTAGCTGAAACATTCCCTCTGTGAATTATCTGCTTTATCTGTTAGTGTTTGCTTCCTCCCCCGCAGTGAAGAGGCCTTGCCCGTCTTGGCTCTGATGAAGTCCCTGGAGTTCAGAACTTAATGAAGAGCTCTTGAGAGAATCAAGGAAGGAAACTAGAGACTCTTAGGAGTGAGGCGGGGTCTGGATCTGTGGAAATCTCTTTAGCTGGGCCTTTGCACACTTGGGGTCTTCGGGAGCTCAGAAAATTGAGCCTCAAAATCCATGTGAAGCCAGTCATCTTTTTGGTCAAGAATGAACAGCTTCCCTTTCGTGTGAGACAAAGGCGCTGAGGGCGGCCACTCTGGTTGGGGTGGGGCCACGTGCACTTGCTTGATCCTAGGATACATTGGCGGGGATTGGTGCCTCAATCTCGGGCAGGATTGAGTCTTCACAGGCTTAAGAATCTGCTCTTCAGACCTCAGGTTCATGGAAACATGCTTGATTGTGGCAAAAATCATCTCTCCCTTTCTTACATTTCCTTTGGCAGCCAAAAGAAATGCGCCCTTCCTGAACTCAGAAAAAGAAGGAGGCAGCCATCTGAAGCTGCTTACCTGCTTCCCAAGCTGCAGCAGGGAGGATGGAGTGGGGGTGGGGTGAGGATGAGAGGGAGCCAAGAGACAGAGAGGACTAGGCTGCCACTCCAGAAGCTTACATCCCTATTTGGAAACCCACAGTAAGTAAGACTCCAGAGGGAGAACAGCCCCACTTGGGCCGCCTTATGGGTCTGTTGACCAGGAAGAAGCCTTTGTAGACAGGGAAGTAGAAAGGAACTGGCAGTGAATGGGTGCTGAGGAGCCAAGACCCGACCGACCGGGACAATAGATGGGGGGAGGCGTTGAGGCCGGAGAGGCTAGAGGAGAAAGCCATCTGGAGACCTTTGGAAAGTGAAGAAGACAGAGGCTTTGACTGTTAATACAGAACAAGCCTTTAGTCCCAGCACTCAGGTAGGTGGATCTCAGTGAGTTTGAGGCCAGCCTGGTCTACATAGTGAGTTCCAGGAAAAAAAAACAAACAAAACCAGTCAGATTTTTCTCAGGGCTCTGTCCTTCTGTGTTGTGCTATGGAGCTGACCTGGCAGTGTTTATCAGGTGTGCCCCCAGTGAGGTCCCTACGGGAAGGATGAGGTGAGACACAATTCAGCTTGTGTGTTAGACATCCAGTTCCAATCCAGAAGGCCTGGAGGGCTTTGGGGATAGTCTGACTTTTACTTGCTCTGTGACCTTGAGCAAGGAATTGAGTTCTATAGAAGGCAGGCAAGGCCCACCACACTGCTCCTCTGGAGACGAAAGGTGAACTGGGAGACACAGAGGGCAAGCACAGGCTCCCATGGTGCCTCACAGCCTGGCCCTGTGGCCCTGCCTCACACCCAAGTGAAGACCTAGCCTGTAGTAGGTCAAGGTCGGTCTGGACACAAGGGCCAAGCACTCAAGCCTGTTGGGTTGGTTGGAATTCTGAATTCTGCCTACTTCTTTCTCTCTTCTGGTCTCTGCAGGATGACGTCCTGGTTGGTGACAATGAGAAGGGCCCCATTTTTAGACTCACCTTTTCAAACACTTAGCTTGAAATTGGCAATGTGATTTCCTCCTAAGTACAGAGCTGATCCGGAAGACTCTAGTAGTCCAGAATTTTCCTCTTCAGGGAGCTTTGGCTTGAAACATCTGGACAGCCACTTAACACTTTCCTATTTTTGCAGAACATTCTCAGCACAGAGGCTGGTCTTTTTTAGGATTACCCACAGCCAAGGGCTTCATTCACCTCCTGCGCCCTTCTCCTCTCTACCCTCCCATTTCCCGAGGGCCCCTAGCCCTGAACACCCCAAAAACCAATGCTTCATTTTCCTCATTGCCCATCACCAGGACACAGGAATTTCTTTGGCTCTCCAAGAGAGCCATAGCTGCTTCTGGATCTACTAGGTCTGGGCTGTAGGATCTTTCTTCCAGGTCTAGTGTTTTAACCCCGAGGTGTGCTGTTCAGGCACTGTTTCTGGGGTCGTCAGGAACAGGAGTGGGGTTTGGATGGTTTCTTCTTCAGCACAGGCTAGAGACAGATAATGAGTCTCTGCTGCAAGACCAGATGGAGGCTGGGAGGGCTGGCCAGACTGGACAAGGATTAAGACAGAGGAAGAGGTCTGAGTGTGGGCATGATTGTGGTAGCCAGTCAGCTTTGATCAAAGGAAAAAGGACATGTGGGGGACACACAGGCACCTCCCCCCCATTGGGAAATTCTTCAAGCTGCAGCATCCCAGGGGACCTGGGAGTCTGCTGGCCAGGCTGGAGATGACCTTGAGAGAGGTGTGCTGGAGAGGAGGGGTCAGGAAAGAGGAGCAGCTGAGAGGATGCAGATGGGAGGGGGCGGGGTAAAGCCAGGCCGCTTGCATCTGTCCGCCTTCCTCCTGGCCAGGAGAGAGACTGACACAGACACAGGTCTGTGGCAGTGGGCGGTTGGGGACAGGGTGTCCTTGAGCCACAGGGCTCTTCTAGGACGCAGGCCCTTGCTGGGCACCCCTTTTCCAGTCTGTGGGATACAGTCCTCAGCTTTTGCTCTTTAAAGGGATTGGGGATGTGGTTCACTTGGTGGAACTCTTATCATGGATTTGATCCCCAACATGTAAACAGCAACAGCAAGGTGTTTTGTGGGATGGAGGGGAGCATTGAGCCACGTTTTCCTCACAGCAGCCTACCTAACCTTTTTTTTTTTTTAAAACCTGTATTGTTTTTTTGAAACAGTGTTTCACGTAGCCCAGGCTGGCCTCAAACTCACTCCGTAGCCGAAGATGACCTTGAACGCTTCTTTCTCTTTCTATCTCTGTGTTCCTGTATCTTGGCCCTCCCTCCCTGCAGCAGGGTCTCACTACTTAGCTTTGGTTGGCCTGGAACTTGGTAGCAGACCAGGCTTATTTCGAACTCACAGAGACCCAGCTGCCTCGTCCCGCAACCCCACACAGTGCTGGCATTAAAGGCATGCTGACTTTGAACTTTTTATTTTCCTGCTGAGTGCTAGGATGATAGGCATGGACCAGTAAGCCGGGCTTTCTGTCTTGTTTTCGTAAACCCAGCCTAGTTTGTCGTCTTTCTTTCAGTACGGCACATGGCCTGGAAAAGTAGGAATTCACCCCCCATGGGGTCAGACTATGGAGTCGGATGCCACATGTGAAGGAACTTTGCAAAGCTCACATGTGCAGCGTGAATGATTCACAGGGGAGAAGGCAAAAGGAAAGGGAAGCAGGAAGGAAGCCCAGGCGAGGTCAGGGAGGAACTCTCCCAGCCTCCTCAGCTCAACTTGGCTCTAGCTCCTTGCCGTCTTTTCCTTCCTCCTCTGGCCCTGGGTCCCCCGTGGGTGAGCTCTGGGGATAGAAATGACTGTGGAGTTGGGTACAGGGTGGTTCAAGAGGAAGAGGAGGTCACTGCAAGCTCACCTTGGCTGAGGAAGGAGAGGCCATGCCTCTGCCCCTCTGCCCCCTTTCCCCACATTCGCAGAGCTGGCAAAGGAGACTTTCCTGAAGGCCAGGGGCCAAGGAGAGCCGTGTGGTACTTCCTGCACCAGTGCCCTTGCCAGGGTCAGATGGAGTTCAGTGGGGGCTTATCTCAGGAGTCAGGCAGGCACTGTGCCTCCTGGAAGAGGCTTGAGGCATGTGGGCTGACTGCCATGCCTGTAGGGACATTAAGGACCTTTCCTTTATTCCTTCATGGCTGGCTGGCACGGGTTCTCCTGACCATTTTCACTGTGTTACCATTTGACAGGAGGAGTGGGGTGGGGTGTCGCTCTAGCTGGAGAGATGCTCTCTGCTTGTTCTGCCATGGTCCAACCCAACACCTTCTGGTCCTGAGCTATAAATGCCAGCCTGGCTATTTCACAGGAATGGAGACGCAACAGCTGCTAGGAGCAAGTTGATCCTTGCAAACCTTCTCTGCAACAGAGGGACAGACGCTCTGTTTCAAATGTCTTCAATGAGCCAATAAGGGCATTCCTTTTGTTTTTTGAGCTTCCCTCAAAACCAGGGATTAGTCAGGAGACAGCTGCGGAGGTGTGGCCTCAGGGAGAGTCTATCCAGGGCACAGGACAGCCTCAGGGAAAACAGTTTTGCCTCCTTGACCTGCACTTGACCACAGCGTCTGCCCAGGAGTGTGAAGTAGGAACTGGGCTCTCGGGACCCAGAGTAGATGACCTGGGTTTGAGGGTCGATTGGACCAGTTTGTTTTAGAGACTCGTTTCCACATCTGTGGTGAGGAGATGCGCCTCCCTCTCACCTAGCACTACCTTTGGGATTAAACAAGACATGCTTAAAGTGTCCAGGGCACCAAGAGCAAACTCTGAAGCCCAGTAAGTGCCAGCCCCTCCTCTTATAGAACGGTGGCTGAGGGATTTCTGTCAGTACAGATTCATCACAGGTGTGTAGGCATCTAGGTGTGACGTGGCTGCAGCAAACAGGAGCCCTGGTGCTGGAAAAATTATATATATGATCTATTATATATACAAGTACTATTTATTAGTGGGTTCCTTCAATACGGGGTTTCTTAAAGCTAGGAATCTTGGGTGGGTCCATTCAGCTGTTGAACACCTACGCCTTTTAAAAATCCAGTAAAGGGAGGCAGATATGGGATGTGGATTGGTGTAGGATTGGTAGAGAGGGGAGTGTTGGGGGTGCCACAAAGGAAACTCAGGGGTGAGAGCTTAGTCAGTAAGGCTGCATAAGCCTGAAGCCCCGAGTTCATGTACCCAACTCTCATGGGGGTGGGGGGCAGCCCAGGCTGGAGAGATGGCTCAGCACTGACTGTTCTCCAAGAGAACTTGGGTTTGATTCCCAGAACCCACATGGCAACTCACATCTATCTGCCTGTTACTCCAGTCCCAGGAAGTCCAGTACTCTCTCCTTGCCTCCATGGGCACCAAGCTCACACATAGTGCACAGACATACATGCAGACAAAATACCCATCTACAACAAACAAGCTGGGCAGTGGTGGCGCACACCTTTAATCCTAGCACTCGGGAGGTAGAGGCTGGCAGATCTCAGTGAGTTCGAGGCCAGCCTGGTCTAAAGAGTGAGTTCTAGGACAGCCAGAACTGTTACACAGAGGAAAAAAATGGCAGAGAACAACTAAGGAATCTAGATACTGGATATCATTTTCTGACCTCCGTGAGTACCCACACATACATGTGTAAATACATACCCACCCACACGTGTACAAACATGAACACCAACACATACAAAAGAGACAGAAACACACACACACACACACACACACAATCTGCTATAGCAAACTCCTTGGGAACCAGTGAGAGCTTTGGCATCTCTAGGATCTTAGACTTCTGCCCTCCAGACCTCTCCTGGGATGAGGTGTGCTGAGACCTAAGTCTCTGGGAGAGAAGACAGAAGCCTCAGCCAAGATATGAGGGTACCTCCAGCGTCTCTAAGACCCCTCTTTGCCATCCTAGAGACAGTAGGAAGAGTCTTGGTCCAAACTTTAGTAAACATGAGAGATGGGCCATTGATTTATCTTCTTCGGGACTCAGTTTCTTCATCTGAAGAAGGGGAAAGATCAACCCTGACATGCCTGTTCACAGGACTGTGGTGAACATGGGATTGATGAGGTGCTACCCAGGGCCAGGAAAGGCAGATAGACGGCTCCCCTCCCCCATGGGCCCCTACAAACAGCTGTCCCTTCCGGCTCAGAGACCACCTGGGACCTTGAGTGGTTGCCTGGGCAATTCAGGGCTTGGTTGGTTCCCACGCCTTCTTCAGTTTTGGCTTGAATGCTAGTCCTGCAGAGAGGTCTCCAGACTCTGAGACGTGACCCCTCTTACCGGCTCCTGTCACATTCTGTAATTTCCCTTGTAGCATGTCTGAGTTGAATAATGTATTTGATTGAGGGATGATTTACTTTCTGTGCTAGCCCTTCATTAAATGCCACCCGGATAGAGAGCTTCTGAGGTACAGCCGCCCACCTTAGCACCAGGGACGCTTTCGCAGGCACACGGCAGACAGCCGTGCCATAAAAGTCCTACCAAGCAAGCCAAGGCTTTGTCTGCCGCATGCCCTTTCCATGCCCCAGCCAACACCCCAGAGGCAATACCTGGGGCCCTGTGCCCTCCGTCACATTCCCGCCTTATGAAAACCATGGCAGCAGCGCATGGTGGTCTATGTTTGTAATCCCAGCAGTGAGGAGGCTGAGGCAGGAGATGACAAACTCAGGGCCATAACAAGGTTGTCCTTAAAAAAAAAAAAAGGCAATACGGGAAGTTGGTTCTCTCTCTCTTCCCCCTCCATTCAACAAAGAAGTTGACTGATCAGCTGCTCTCTTCCCTCTCTCAGCGCCCCAGGCCCCGCCCAAGATCCAAAGCCTGTAGGTAATTGCTCTATTTATTTATTTATCTTTGCACAAGGCTGCCCTCTGCTGGTTGCATATAGAGGAGCTACTAGAAAGGATGGCACTCTGGGGCCAGAAACCAGGAGGCTTGAGGCGGAGCCACAGAAGAGGTGAGTCCCAGCCAGAGGGCTAAGAGGTGAGAAGCCAGGTCAGTTTTCCCTCCTTGGGGATGGTTCCCTCCAACTAGAACAGGAGAACCTAGGAAAAGCAAGAAACGAAGGGCTGTACCATAGGGACTGTACTCGCTGGCCATTGGGGAGTGTAGGGTCAGGGAGCACTAGTTTTAAACATAGTTCTTTGTCCTCGGTGGTGTGCTGGCAAGTTTGCAACAGTTAGATCTCAGTTAGAGACAGATGTAAGCAGACACACAGACATGCACAGACACACCCATATAGACTCTCTCTGTCTCTCTGTCTCTGTCTCTGTCTCTGTCTCTGTCTCTCTCTCTCTCTCTCTCTCTCTCTCACACACACACACACACACGATTTACAACACCCATAGATTTCCATGGTGTAAATCTCCCACTATGGCGGGTTTCAAACTGCCAACACAATGTCACCAATGAGTCGGGAAGGCTGCCCTATAGCACTCCGTTGCCTGGAATGTCTACCACAAAGCTACCAGGGACACAAGGCAGGGTAAACTCATTGGGAGCTGGCAAATTTTGAGTGTTCATTCCAGTCATTTTCAGCATAATATACTTTACTGTGAGGTTATATAATTTAATTTTTCATAATGGCTGTGTTTGACAACTGAACTGCAAAATTCTGGGAAACGTAATTATCAGTCTTGTCGGCCTACCCGTCAGTGAAGACGAGACTCCAGCACACCGGTGTTTCCTCTCTCCCACCCTCCCCTCCTAGCCTGCTTCTGTCCCTCTGGCGCCTCCTCTTCTTCCTCTTTCTTTCATGGCTCTCCTGGAATTCTGTGGGAAGACACGGATGGAGAAGATGGGAAAGATCTCTGCTGCAGCTCTTCTCCGAGTGAGGAGCCATAAGGTGTAAGGAAAGAGGAGGGAGAAAAGCAAACTCGGTGGCTGGAGGAGGCTCTCTCTCTCTCTCTCTCTCTCTCTCTCTCTCTCTCTCTCTCTCTCTCTCTGTGAAATTTTGCGACTGCGGCTCACAGGCTGCCCAACACTTGGGCTACAGACCACCATTTAGCTGCAGGAATCTAGCGCTCTATCAGTGAGCCCATGAGCACTGCACCTGGGAAGAGATGGCCGTTGGCATCTAGGTGAAGCGGCCCACAGGGAGCCTTGGCAGGCAGAAATAGGCCTCGGGGAAAAGGCTTAGATTGATCGGGTTCCTGTCCAGGCGGATGTCTTCCAGTTGCCGTCGCTCGGGGCTGTGTTCCCTGGGGTCACAGAAGGTGTCTCTTTCCATGGTCTCGATCATGTTGTTCTGGAAGGAACAGCATACGCTGAAGGCTCACAGCAGCTGGGGAAACTGAGGCAGGTAGAGCTGAGACCATACATGGGGAGAAGAGGATGCTTGTGGAGAGTGAAGAGAGAGAGGGAGTTAGGAAAGATAGGGAGTGAGAAGAGGAGTGGAGATTGAGGGCACAAAGCAGGTGGAATACGGACGCGTACAGGAAGGAAATGCTTCACCAGGAGAGGAGACCAGCATTCACACAGGCCATGCTCGTCCTCGCTGCCCCGAATTCCCGGGGCATCTGTCTTCCACCCTGCTCACTCTCTTTGGCCCTTGGTCTCATCAAGGCTCCTCACCTGCAGGTGCAGGGAGCGCAGGCTCAGGGGCAAAGGCCCAGGGATGGAATCCAGCAGGTTGTCTGCCAGGTAGAGAAACTGAAGCTTCTCCAGTGCCTGTGGGGACACAAAGCATAGGAGACTGGTGAGTCCTCTCAGGCTCTGGTCATGCAGCGGTGCCCCAGGAGGCCAGCGTCGGGTTGGTCACACTTGTGGGGGTGGGGCTGTCCCTGCCTATCTGTCTGTCTGTCTATCTGTCTATCTGTCTGTCTCTGTCTCCCCTTCCTCTCCAGCATCTTACTCTGTACCTCAGGCTAGCCTAGAATTCTCTATGTAGCCCAGGCTGGCCTCACTCTTGTGATCCTCCTACTCCATCCTTCTGAGGCCTACGTGTACCACCAAGCCCAGCTAAGGACGCTGGTTCTTTAAGGAGCTTACAGATACCAACTCCATTTGGATGCCAAAAGAAAGCTGCTGTCATTGAGTTCTGGCAGCTGGGGAGCATAAAGGAGCTGTTAGTGCTGGCTGGGAGGAACAGATGAAGGCAGGAACAGGTAGAAGGAAGGACCAGGGGACATTTCAGCTCCGTCTCAACTACTCTGCCACCAGTGAAAAGTCTTCCAAATGCTCCACTCGGAATGGAGAACAAGATCAGAGGATGGCAGAACTGAATTCAAGGCACACAGACACACGGAGCATGGGAGTGTTTCAGCACTGTAGAACCAGGGAAGGCCGATCAGATAGGAGCTGGGGAAAGAGCTCAGCCTGCAGGGGGATGGGAGAACAGGGAGGTATAAGCTACCACTTAACGGAGCATCCACTGCCTCCATTTAGCTATCCTGTTATCTCTGCAAATGCTGTGCTCAATCCTGCAGTAGCCGTGTCAAGTGGGCATTATCACCCTCGTTCTATAAATGAGGAAACAAGAGCGGAGGTGACTCACTCAGTGAGCTCAGGTCCTTCGGCTCCAAAGCCCCTGCCTTTTCTGGACCAAGAAAATAGGCCCGAGTGAAGGCAGAAAAGCACCTCCTAATATGGAAGCAGTCAGGATGTCTCTGAAGACTGGAGCAGCCAGGGACCTCCCTGGACAGACAATCCCAGAATTTGCTGCATGGCCAAGAAAACCAGTGTCTGCAGGGCTTGCGTCCCATCCGCCAGTGGCGCGGATACTGTTCTCTGTACTTGCTGTAGGCCCCCAACCCACAGCATCCTGGAGGGTGGAGGATGCTTGTGAAGAGGACCAGTGAAAGAGCAGCACCCAGCTCTTGGTGAGCACGGTGATGTACCACGGTTACGGCAGCGTCAGGAAGCTGGGGGAGGGGATAACGAGTTTGCCGGTATCCCGGACTACAAAGCAAGACCCTCGTCTATGAATACACATTATGTGTATAAAACATAACATATAATAGAAAATATATAAATGGTTATATATACTGCCCTTTTTACCTTCTCTATTTGATGCTTCTACAGATGACTCTTTGTGAAAAGGAGCCTGTCACAATCGAGCATTGCTTAAGGACAGGGATGCGTTCTGAGAAATGTGTCATTGTGAAATTACTTACACAAACCAAAAGGGCTGTGAAGTTACTAGATGACTCACTCTTAGGGGCCACCACCGGGCCCGTAGTCCAGTACTGACAGAGACGCTGTCATGTGGTTGACTGTATTGAGAGACAGAGAGGCTGCACAGGAGACACCAGCTGTGAAGGCCCTTCCCAGTCCTGCAGCCGGCCTGCTGGCTGGTGCCAGCTGTGCCACCCTTCCCTTGGCTTCCTGGGCTCTTACCAGCCTGTTCCTTGGGCAGTCCCACAGGACCACAATTGTGTCAAATGACTTAATACTTTCCACCAAATCTGTTCAGAAACCCATCAAATTGTGTCTTGAGAATCTGACCATAGAGAGACAGTGATCAGTTACTTTTTAAAAAAGATTTATTTATTCATTATGTATACAGTGTTCTGTTTGCATGTGTGCCTGCAGCTCAGAAGAGAGCACCAGATCTTACTACAGATTGTTGTGAGCCACCATGTGGGTGGCTGGGAATTGAATTCAGGACCTCTGGAACAACAGGCTTAACCTCTGAACCATCTCTCCAGCCCCCGGTGATCAGTTACTTGGTGGTAGATTTCAAAACCATTAAGATGGTATGTAGGAGTTGGAGTCAGGGTCAGCACTACAGACAATCTGGAGTTCTCAAGATCAGAGTGGGTGAGCAGTTCTGGTGTGAGCAGGTCTGGTGTGAACAGGTCTGGGGTGAGCAGGTTTGGAGTGAGCAGGTCTGGGGTGAACAGGTCTGGGGTGAGCAGGTCTAGGGTGAGCAGGTCTGGGGCAAAAAAGCCTGGTGTGAGCAGGTCTGGTGTGAAGAGGTCTAGTGTAAACAGGTCTGGGGTGAACAGGTCTGGGGTGATCAGGTCTGGGGTGATCAGGTCTGGGGTGAACAGGTCTGGGGTGATCAGGTCTGGGGTGAACTGGTCTGGGATGAGCAGGTCTGGTATGAAGAGGTCTGGGGTGATCAGGTCTGGTATGAACAGGTCTGAGGTGAACAGGTCTGTGGTGAGCAGGTCTGGTACAAAGAAAGCAAGTGGAACAGATGCATAGAAAAAGGCCAGCACTGCAGTGGTATCCTCACAGAGGCACGGGAGAGTTGCTGGTATTGATTTCCTGTGTTCTGTCCCCACTAACAGGGTCCTGGGACCTGAGAGCACTGTGTTTCCCGCTCACACAAGCGACAGAGGCTACCATGATGGCATAATGTACTGCAATCTTTTCTGGAGAAGAATGTTTAAGAAGCCATAAATGATGTGGGAGTCTCTGTGTGCTGTGATTACCATTAATGAATAAAGAAACTGCTTTGGACCTATAGCAAGGCAGAACTTAGCTAGGCAGGGGAAAGCTAGGCTGAATGCTGGGAGGAAGAACGGTGGAGTCAGTGAGAAGCCATGAATCCTCTGGAGACAGACGCTGGTATCTTTAGCCTGCAAGCCACTGTCACATGGCTATACACATATTAATAGAAATGGATTAAAAGAAATAGAAATAAGAGTTAGCCAATAAGAAGTTAGAGCTAATGGACCAAGCAGTGATTTAATTAATACAATTTTTATGTGACTGTAGCTGGGCGACCAGAAACCAACAAGCAGACCTCCTCCAACACATAAATAGAAAAAGAAGATTAAAAACTGGGAATTGATTTTTAGGCCCCAACCAGGGTTGAACATGAATTGCTATGAGATCAGGGTACATGGGCAGGGTGGGTGTTGTGTGGTGGACTAAGGTCCTGACTCACCACGAAGGCCTCAGGCTGTATCCCCGAGCTCTGCAGCCGATTCAGGCGGACATCCAGGAACTCGATGCTGCTGGGCAGCACAGGCAGAGCTGCCAGCTGGTTCTCTGAGAGGATGAGATCCTGCAGGGCAGGCAGCAGGCAGAAGGCGTCGTTGTGGATGGAGGAGATGGAGTTGCTGGAGAGATCAATCCTCTTCAGTTTTGCTGAAGGATGTTGGGAGAGAAGGAAGGGTGGAGCTGGAACAGACATCTCCCCTGGCCCCAGGCGGGATGTCTTTGCCTCCACGCCTTGCTCCATCCTTCTCAAGCGAGTTCTAACTAGCTGCCACCTGAATCAGGTCCAGACCACGAGAAACAAGGCTAAATCACCTCAGTCCTCGACAGCTTCCTCCAGAGCTTTGGTTCTATGGTAGTTACCCATCTTAAAAGGGCCCCACCCCGCTTCAGAAGAAGAACTAACAAGTTCAAGTTCAGGAATCGCTGCATTCAACCCTCCCCCACCCCCTGTATGACTTACTTTACATGGAGGACACTGAGGACCTGAAAGGCTACTAGCAATGCAAGCCCAGGCCGCCCACCTCAAGCAGGGAATATGGTAAGAAGTAGCAAAATAAAGAAACAGCAAACAGCTCTTTGGATAGCATCAGGGCCACCGAGAGGAGGTGCAGGGAGGTCTAGCCCAGAGCAGGTACGTCTGGCTTCTGAAACATCCTGGCAATGTTGCCTTGAGCACAATATACCTTCCCTTTCTGTGCCCTAGATCCTTCGTGAGAAGAACGGGCTACTTCCACCACTTTAAACTCTATGGGATTTAGAAGGATTGGAGCGTCTGTCCCTTTGACAGCCTGTGAGCTCATGTCTGTGTCCTGGCTGTCCTCTCTGCCTTGCCACGACCTTTTCCCAAAGCATAACTCACTCAGCCCTTTGAAGTCTCCGGCCTGGATGTGGCTGATGTGATTGAAGCGGGCGTACAGGTAGGTGGTCATCTGGGGAAGGGGAGGAATGGTCTTGAGGTCTGCATCATCACAGTACACGGAAGAGCCAAGGCACACACAGACCAGGCAGGTAGGCAGGCCTGGCCAGGTAGAAAACAGAACAGAGGGGCTTCAGCCTCTGTGGGCAGTGGTCTTTGCTTTAGCAGATTCCTAAGCCATGAGCACCTGTGACTTTTAGATTAGCTCTGGGTTTTTGCCCAGAACCACCCAGCACAAGGCACCAGACAAGACTCAGGTTCACCCTGGCCTAAAAGAGGACTCACCTCACTACCACCCAGTGCAAGTCTCATTGGTGCGTTCATCAGACTCAGACCCTTTGGAGGTTCCCCTGAATTAATGTGGCTATTTCTAGGACCTCTGTCTGTCTCTTCCCCAGAGGATCCTTCTTTAGTGCCAAAAGGTACAGTGTAAATGAGAAAAAAAAAAAAAAAGCCAGAGTGATATGGAATAGCCAGGGGTTGCTGCCTCTGTCTCAGGAAGAGGAACTGCCTATGCTGTATGTGGCTTCAGGAAGCAGAGCAGGGCCAAGGTGGAGTGGACAGTGCCTGCCGAGCATCCATTTCCTCTTGGGATGTTGTCAGCATCCTGATTTTCCGGTGGGAAGCATCCCTCTCCTGTTCTTGGCCCCTGGTGCTCTCTCTGCACAGAGCGGTCAAGAGTTCAGACATCTGAACAATGTTAGTGTCACTTGCTGTCACAAGTCACAGAGCTTACTGAGAGGTAGGCTTGTATCCAAAAGGCACCGGAAGAAAGTTCACAGCCCAGAGATGAGGCAGCAAGAGGGATCAGCAGGGCCAAGGAGCAGAGAGAGGTCCTGCGCCCTTCTCCCAAGGCTGAGAAAGGTAGGTCCAGCTGAGACCCTTCATGGCCTCTTCAAGGCTGAGATTGGGGCTGTGAGCGTTCATGGACTCCTCAGGGAACATCTCAGCCGATCTCAGTACCCCAGGTCCATGCTGGCAAGCATCTGACGGAACAGGACATTAAGTATCCACAAGTCCAGAATAAGGTGGGTTCCTCATGTGTCCCAGATTTTGATCCCCAGCAGTCAGGGATGCTGCACCCCTGGCCCAGAAAGGCACCGGGTGTGGGGCTGCTAACAAAGGTGACTTTACACTGAAGTCGGTGTCACTGCTTCATTTGCTCCCGTGCCAAGTGACAGCCGCAGTTATTTCTTCTCCTTTCCAGACATTTAATCATCTCTAATCTAATCACCACTCAAACTGCTCCCCAAGTGATGCTGTTAATTAAGGTAGGGTGGATTTGATAGGGTGTAGGAGTTCCCGCTTGCTTTGCCTCCCACTCAATTTGTGCATAATATTTATGCAGAAGTATCAGGGACAGACAGCCACTCCCCTTTATGGCGGTGGTGTTTGTTTTCACCATGGCAACCTCCCCTTCTTTTCCCGCTGGCAGAGACCCAGGACTCCTTGGCCTTAGCCCTCACCACGTTCCACTTTAGAACTGCCCGGTGCTAGCTTGAGGTTCCTCGGTCTGTGATCTTTGTGTACTGTGACCTTCAGATTGCGTGCACTTACCATGACTGCTCTGGGAGGTCAGTAGGCCAGTGGTGGTAGGCTTGGTCATGGTGGAGTTTGGAGCCACAGTGCTCTGGGAGAGACTGGTTCTTGTTGGGAGAGTCAGGCTGTCCACTTTAGCCTGGAGACACAGCACAAAGCATATCATAGTCAGTCTATGCCTGAGAAGGACTTAGCTGTGACCTCTGGTAATCTCAGAGACCAAATCGAAACATGCGGATTAAGAGGAGGGAGGGAGAGCAAGGAAGGGATCTTGGAGGACATGGCATCTAATATCATTTACAGATGAGGAAACTGAGGTCAAGAGAGGAGAGGGTAAGGGTCAGGTACCCAGAAGGCCCCAACACAGAGCTGAAGTCTGGATCTCTGGCTCATCCAGGCTGGTACTCCTGTCCTTTCTGCATTGTTCAGGTCGGCCCTAACCCTTTTCTCTACGCCAGTCCTCATCACATCACAATGGGCAGAGGCTTCTGAGCTCCTGTGCCACGTCGCACAGGTCAATCCTTGCATAGGACAGGAGAGAACTTCAGACTAGAACTAACAAGACTACGAACTAACAAGCTAGCATTTCCCTTTTGGGGGGGGGGCGGAGAACATGAAGACACAGCTGAGCTTCACCCCATGACACAACTCATGATCCTATCTGACCACATGGGGAGGTATGTATGAGGTCCCCTGCTAGGATGGACTACGACCTTGGAGGTTAGTGTCCTCTTTTTTGTAGCCTGCAAGTGACAAGTTCCTAAGGAGGGATAAAAGTTTGTACCCTGTGCCTGGGAAGACAGCACTGTTGGAAAAAACGCTTCCCTTGAAGATAAGGGCACACATTTGATTCCCCAGACCCTCATGTGTCTGTTTGCCAGCTCTGTGGTTAGTGCTCATAATCTCGGTGCTGGGGAGGATTGCTGGCCAGCCAGCCTAGCTCACTTGACAAGCTCCAGGCCAGGGAGAGAGTCTGTCTTAAAACGCGACGGACAGTTCTGGAGGAGCAACACCTAAGGCCATCCGTCTTTTGGCTTCCTATACCTGTGCACACATGCATGTGTATCTGCACACATAGGAATGAACATATATACCCATAAAGAATTTGCATCATATAGAGTAAGAGTTGAAGGCTCAAGAGACTTGTATTACAGGGCAGGTGGAAGGGGAGCTGGCTCTAATGAGGGAACCCAAGTCAGCTGTGTCCTTTCACCTCAGGGGTCTGGTCCCCATAGTCAGCTGGCTCCTCATAGCTGCTCAGGTCAATGACGTCACTGTAGTCCTCCAGGCTCAGGGCATAGTTCCCCATGTGTGGAAATGCGTAGGTGTCACCTTCCTCGGGGCTCTGCTCTTCTCTCTTCCTCTCCCCTGGGAGAGAAGCTGTCCCTGCCTCATGCAGCACCAGGGCCAGCAGACTCAGGAAAGCCAGGAGCCTCATGGGGTTCTGGGGAGAAATAGGAGCGGGAATGGCTGAATCCCACTGATGTCCATCCTGTGGGTAGGTAGTAGAAGGGCCGGTACCTGAGGTCTCTAGTGCCCCATGGGAATGGCCCACAAAGTCACCCAACCTCCGACCGGCATGTTTGCTCACCCTTGCCCTCCACCACACAGCCTCCTCAGAAGGCTCATCTGCCACTAAGGCTCCTTGAAGACCAGGCTGTGTCCGGAGGGATCTTTAGCCATCCCTCACTGCGGCTCACAGTGCAGCCATCAGTCACTTAGGCTCCCACTAATAGTTCCCACAGGCTGGCTTACTCATCTCACCACAGACAGGCTTAGAAAATCCCGTCCACTCAAGGAGGGCTGTCTGAGAAGCCAAGGACAATGGCATTGGGTTTTGATCCTACTGCATGTACTGGCTTTGTGGGAGCCTAGGCAGTTTGGATGTTCACCTTCCTAGACCTGGATGGAGGGGGAAGGACCTTGGACTTCCCACAGGGCAGGGAACCCTGACTGCTCTTTGGACTGGAGAGGGAGGGGGAAGAGGATTGGGAGGAAGGGGGGCGGGGGAGGGGAAACGAAATGGGAGGAGGTGGAAATTTTTAAGTAAAAAAAATAAATAATGCTATGGAAAAAAAAAAGAAAATCTCGTCCACTCACCTGTGCACTGGACACACTTGCGCATTTGCACAGATACTCCCCAGTAAACAACCACATATTCAGAACAAACTCTTCATCAAAAAAATAAAACAAAACAAAACAAAAAAACTTAGCTTTCAAGAAACTACACTAAAGAGACTTTTGTTTCCTTTGGCTTTTGCTTTTGTGATAGGGTCTCACGTGCCCTAGATTGGCCTCAAGTTTGCTATGTAGTGGAGAAGGACATTGGACTTCTGATCCTCCTGCCTCCACCTCCCAAGTGCTGCGATTACAGGTGTGCACCATCACACCTGGTGTATTAGATGCGGGGTACCAAGCCCCGAGCTTCCTGCATGTTAGGTAAGCTCACTATCAAGTGGGCCTTCTCTCTCCCTAGAACTTCTTGTGGTTGGTCTAAGGTCACTCATTCATGCAGTCACTTAAACACTCATGTGGTGTCTACTGAGTTGCAGTCTCTGGACTTCCCTCTGGAGGTGTGGAAATGAATAAGGAGCGTATTAGGAGCAACCAGTTAACTTGGAGGCAAATCTTATAATTGACATACAATGTAAAAGAAGGGTGTTCACTCATAAAATAGACTTAGAAATGAAACTTTTTAGAAACATATTTTAGAAACCAGAGAGTCTGTGTGTGGTTGTCAGAGTGTTTTCCCATCATGAAAGCTGGGTAGCTATCTATGGACATGTTTATGTACACGTGTGTGCATATGGCGCACACGTCTGTGCCTTTCACTCACATCCGTGCACACAGGGGGAGAGCTGTGAGCGCTATGGACACATAGTGTCATTGTAGCCAGCATGTGTCGGGCTACATAGGCCTCCTAAAGCCGCCGCACATGTTTCTTAACTTCAGCTGGACTGAGCGGTAAGTCCCCATCAGCAGCAAAAGGTTGTATCTCTGTTCCCAACCCCCACTCCAACCAAAATATATGCTTTTAAAAACAATTCCCAAGGCAGTTTATTGACCATCCTATAGCTTCTTTGACTGCCCAGTCCCTGCCCTGTCCCTTTTATTTGCATGCCAATATGCATGAGGCCTCCAACCTTGGACCTTACCTTTTAGATGCTTTCGGGTGCTGTCTGGCCCTGCAGCTTTCAGGGAGATAAAGGCTCTGATGGAGAGGATGACTGTCTGTCTGACTAGGGAACAACTAGACACGTCCTCATCTATTGGCCAGGGGGAGGACAAGCAGTTGGCCCAGGGAGTCATGTGTCTAAGTAGATTTCCCATTCTTTGAGATGTCCTGCTGTTTCCTTTCCTTTTTCCCCAGGGGTCCCTAATCTGAATTCTTCACTTAATGAACAGGAATTCGTTGTACACACACACACACACACACACACACACACACACACACACACACACCCTCCACACCACCTTCTTCTCTGGGGGATGGCCAGTCAGATTAGGAGTTTTCCTAAACTAAGAAGGCTCAACTGAAGTTATCTGAAGGGATGAAGTTTGCTGCTCACACCCCCCCCCCCCAGGGATGATGACACTTGACTTCACAGATGGACTGCAAAGAGGAAGGAGTCTGGACTGGGGCACCCCATCCAGCCCCACCCTTAGAGCACTGGGAATCATACTAAGCAGAATCACCAAGGAAGGTTTTAGGGCTTGGGCAAGCAATGCAAAGAGAAACAGGAAGTGGGGTAGAATTTGAAGACCAACTTCAAGTTCACAGAGGTAGTCACCAAGTACAAGACAGAAAGTTCTCTACTCCTGGCGGAAGAAAGGACAAGGACAGCAGTGGGGCTTTGGTTTACAAACACCCAGGACATCGTGCCATTGTGCATGGCCTTTAGTCTAGAAACTAACCCCCATCCCCAACGATCCCATCTTTCTTTGGGATATGCCCAGATATCCCCAGAGGAGAGCAGGAGCTGGAGAATGCCATCCTGATCCTGCCGCCCAGCTTCTTCACTGAGGCTCTCCAGTTCCCTCCTCTTCTTGGGCCACACCCTGAATCCCAGCTGGGAGGCCCCCTGAATATCATCTATTCAAACTCCCTACTGTAGGGGAAACCGAGGGCCAACGAGGGGAAGCGGCTGGTCCAAGGCCAGCACCACATTTTGACTCTTCTGAGTTCACAAGGCTCACCCTCTTTCAACCTCATCCCAGGAACGCTAAGAACACGGTGACCCTGTGCCCTCAGAACAGATGGCCTTGGCAAAACCTATGCCCGGCTTGAGATGCCAGGTGAGTGGGCACACCTCATAGCCAGACCCTGAGGAGGCCTCAGCTGGTGTGAGAAGGGGCTTCTGGCAACCCAAGAGGCCACCTGCGAGAACAAGGCTGTTTTGTCTCGGAGATTCCCCCATGTGGGGAATGAGAGCTTTCAAAAGCTTGGCTGGGTGGAGGGAGATAAGACTCCCACGCCAGGAGGACGCCCTCGAAGCAGATGGCCCGTTTGGCTGGCCCTGCTCCTCCATTCTTCTCTTCCAGAGACCCTTGGTCCCTACAGACAGCCGAGAGAGAGCGCGTTCCCCTCCCACCTCCTCGCTATTTGTCCCTGCAAGGAATGTAGATGAGACGGTTCATTCATTTCCCCCTGCCACCTGCTCCCACCCTTTTCCCCACTCTCGGCGACACACCCCCTCCACACTCCCGCCGTCCGTCACCCCCCTCCCAGTCGTCCCACCTCTTCCCCTGAGCATCCGCCCCCGCACTTCTAGGCGGGCGCAGCCAGCCCTGCCCTGCGCATGCGCCTGCTCCCACGCGCTTTTCCCCAACCCTGTCCGCGGAGGCAAACTCTTTGCGTTGCAGGCTTTCATCCTACACTTTCTCCCAGCTTCTATTCCCGCCTTCGCAAGCTTGCGGTTGTTCCCATGGATTTGGGGGCGTTGGTGAACGGGAACTTGTGTGGGAAGCGGCGCGCGGGTGGGCGGGCTCTGTCCCTGATCTGCGAACCTGGCGAGCTCTGCCCTTTAGGAGAGACACGAGGCATGCTGATGGAACAGAGGCAGCAGGCCATGTGGACAATAGTGCGGCCAACTGACCCTCCTGCTGCCCTGCTGTGGGCAGTGAGAGAGGGGGGCAGAACGTTCAGGGACCTGCCTGCCTATTGGTATTCCCTGCTGAGGACTGAAAACCACTACCCACCCCGACATAAGCTAGACCCCAACCCAGCTAGCTACCTTTTTGCTTACGCACTTTTCCTCCAAGTCATACACTTTCTCCATTTCTTATCTGGCAAAACTAGATCCCTTAGACCCTGCTCACGTGAGACTTTCCAGGCAGAGAGAGTAGGTCGACTCTGAATTGCTTATAGTTATGTTAACGCCATTACAATTAAGGAAAAAAAAAGAATTTGTGGGTGCATCCTACCCTCTTATCAAGTTATTAATCCCCCCAAAGGCATGGAGCATGTTTTGCCCATCTTTGAATTCTTAACCGGGACCTGCCTGGCACACAGTTTGATCGGGGGTTGATCAGACAGGGATAAGGGGCCAGGAAATCTGTCGGTTTTCATTCTACACAAGATAGCCTAGGCTAGGAGGGTCGCAAATCCCTTTCTGTAGCCACATTCCCTCTAAAGACAGCTCTAGTGACTAGTCTTTTCGAATTTTTTCTTGGCCTTTGGATCTTTCCAGGTGATTTGTCCTTGGCTCTCTGCCATGGGCCCTTTCCATGCACACTGCCTTTCCACAATTCGTCTATAATCTTTCCTTGGGCAGAAAAGGTGACCATGAATCTTCCGGAGTCTGCCTAGGTTCTGAGCGCTGGGAAACCCCACAGCGTGATGTCTGTGGGCTCAAAGAACCTGGCTGTTTCAGTTTCAAATGGAGCTATTAGATTTCTGGTCTGACTTTAGGAATCATTTTTCATGCAGGTTATGAGTTTGTGGGAAATTCGCTGAGAATAGGCTCTGGGATATCTCTGCTACAAATCATTCATTTATTGTGACAAGGTTTTACTATGTCACCTTGGCTGGTCTCAGACTGAGAGATCTGTCTGCCTCTTTTACCTGAGTGCTGGAATTAAAGGTGTGCACCATTACTCCTGGCTCCTAGGAGCTTAAGGTATTTGGGGGGCGAAGATGTGACTCAGAAGTTAAGACCATTTGTTGCTCATCTAGGGGATCTGGGTTTGTTTCTCAGCACCCACATGGAGGTCCTCAGTCATTCATATTCCCAGATCCAGGGGATCCAGTACCATTGTCTAACCTCTGTGAGCACCAAGCATGCATATGGTGCACACACATACATGCAGGTTAAACACCTCTACACATAAATACATCTAAAAAGTGCTTCTTAAGAAAGGTATTTTCTTCAATCATCTGCTCAGCAAGATGTAGGGAGCGGGGTAGCAAGACAGCATTGGACCCGTCCCCATGCTCAGGTTCATGCTGGGTGTTTGTCCGTATGACTTTATTTCCTCTGCTATGAAGCTTGTTGAAATGTTCAGAGTCAATATGGTCTTTAAGAGAATAGATAAGACATACAGTGCGCGCACACACACATACACTCACCCACGCGTGCACCTGCATGTATAGATGCCAGTGGCATTGAGCGAATGAACTTGTGTGAGAAGGGGCTTTCTAAACCCAAATGTAACTAGCACACACGCACACTGTGTCTGTCTGTCTCCTGTAAAGCCAGTTTAGCTCTAGTCCCTCTAGCTGGCAGCTGTGGAGAGCCGTGGGGGAAGCTGGCATGTTCTAGGTGGAATGATGGGCTGCCGAAGGTGTGACTGCTACTTCAGTCTGCAAGATCAGTGCCCACCCCCATGCCTAGCGGCCGCAGGAGCTATGCTCCCTACTGGCCTCCCCAAAGGGGTTGAGGCTGCAGGTTGTGCTTAGATGCAGAAGGGGCTTGTCCAGGCCGTAGCACCAGATTGCTTTCAGCCGTCATACTGTATTGACTTTAAGCAGGAGCCTTGGAGAAACCAGCTGCAACTAGGAAGAACAAGGAAGTTGCACAGCGAGGGGTAGATAGTCTGTGTGAAGTGGGGCTCTATTTTCAATCTTGAGCAGATGAGAGATGTGATCAAGAATATAAATGGGCTTTCTGGACTGTCAGGCCCAGCCTAATCCATGTCTTGAAACAGTTGTGTGACACTTCCCCATCCTAATGTGGGTGGGTTCTGTGCTCCCCTCACTTCCAGAACATTCACCTCCCCATGTTCCTCCTATCACACACTCAGGGAACTGCGGCAGGGCAGGTGCAGCCTCTCCTAGAGGGAAGGGAAGGACAGGAGAGGCCAGAACCCCAGGTTCTTGGAAACCTGCCAAGTTGCTCACCTCGGTAGAGAAGCTTTTGGAGGAGGGGCCCTTGTGCAAGGAATAACTTCCTGCAAGGGGGCGCGGTGACACCACTTGTCCGGCATTAGGTATGCTCCGGAAGAGTGTGCACAGACATGCTACACAGCTGAGAGGACCTTGGGGAGCATCCCACCTACTTCTGTCCTGAGTACAAATGTGGAGGCTGAGAGCAAGAGACCTGGCAAAGCCAAGGCCAAACTAGCTTCCCTTTGACTCCCAAGGCTTTCCCATTCACACCCACTCATATGGGGACGAAGCCCCAGCTCTATCCTTCCCTTTAGACCCTTAGGGAGAGAGACACTCAGCCAGTCACCCATGGGCCTCTTCCCCCACGGAAGCTGTTTGCAACAGCCCCATAGAGAGTGGAGTCGTCTGTGACCTTCGCCAGCCACCAGATGTCACCGATGAGTCTGTTTTAGAGGTAGCGGCTAAGCCCCAGTGTGGAAGAGGCTTCTGGGAGATTTCCAGGTGCTCCACCCCCTTTTCTCTGTTTCTCAAGAACTGCCTCTGGGGTGGGGACTGGGTCATGCACATAACAGAGTCTGGGGTGCTGCCTCTTGGGCTTCCACAGTGAACACTGTCCTCCACGGCTTTGGGTCTCTTGTCAGGTTTGGGTCAGGGAAACTGTAGGGCCCATCTACATCCATACAGGCCCATTCTGGGGCTCTGGCTCCCAGCCAGCACACATTAGCTAAATTCTAGTTCCTTGAACCATTCTCCTCCCTGGCTGTTCTCTGAGACCCAGCCAAGAGGGTGTGTGCTGTGCTTGGCCAGGAGGAGGAAGAGAAGGAAGGGCTGATGGAGACACTTGTGGGGAGCCCTGACCCTCCACCCCACCTCAGTCATTCCCTCACACTTGCTTCCTGGAGAACGTAGGCAGCAGAAAGCAGGTTGATGTCTGGTGTCAGGAAACAGGGAGGCAGAGCAATAGTTTTGGAAGGACACCTGGGTTTGTCAGCCTTCTTGAGGCAATGATGCCCAAGGTGTAGGAGCACTCAGCAGAATTTCCCAGGGTTCTCCTCTGGGATGACTCCAATTCTTGCTTGATTAAGACTAAGAAAAGGCATCGTCCGTTA